GGTTTACATTATACAGTAAAGTTAAGGAGCCAACAGCCAATGAGACAGCCCCATCCCACATTGGAGCTATGTGGGACAGCCCCACATAGAGCTGTCTTATTGGCTGTTGGCTCTGTAACGGAGCCAACAGTTAGCTCCTTAGCATTATTGTTATATTATATGCTTGTTACTAATGCCCTGTCAAAATGTCACGTGAGTGTGTTTTCACTTTATTTTTGTACCAAAGACAGAGAATAAAAAATTTTGTGGAGAAAGCATAATCCATTAATAAAAAAAGTGAGTGAATAAATAGATAAATGCACTTATTTTGTAGCAGGGAAGCTTGGATGCATAAGAGAGCAGGGGATTTTGACGTAGGCAACTTACAATCCATTGAGGTAACTTTTATTTTAAAAAATATTACTAATAATAACAAAAGTGCCCTTGTTGCTCGTGTGTGTTGATGATATCCATGTGTGCACAAAAGCTAAAGGTTAAAAGCTTTTCCTCACTTAAAGTTAGGAAGTAATTAATTTGTAATCTCTTTATTCTCACACTTTGAGAGTTAGGGAGGAAAAAAATGAAAAGAAAAGCCTAGTTAAAGCCAAACAAAGATCTTCATAGNTATATATGCAATGGGTAAGAAATCCCTTGCTTTAGATGAAATTAAGATCAACATTGAACTAAAAATGTCTACTTGTTATAAGATTACATAAATTCAGCCAATTTTTAGAATATCTCTGTATCGGATTATAGTTTAGCATGTCGATTTCTTGTGAATGAATTGTGTAACAAAAACATATGATACATACATTCATATATACACAATTAATTTCTCATGTATATTTTACTTGCATGCACGTAGAAGGATATTGAACCAAAACTCCCGAGCAGTTATGAGAGAACATCACAAGCTTTGAGCCCATCGTCGAGTCTATCAAGATCAAGCTCGAAAGAGAAGCCTAATCTGGAGTTCACTCTTGGAGGGCCTCTGTGATTAAAAAGTGTCGAAATATTCGGGATTACGTATAAGATCATTAGTTATAATGGAACTTAATTATTACATATGTGTATGATCTGAGGGAAGAGAATTAGGTGCCCAATGAATATAAAATCAAAATGGTACAAAAAGAAATGAAAAAGAGAGAAGGGAAGGAAAAAAAGGAAAAGTGAGGTTAGAGCTAAAGAAAGACAAAAGGAGACAAGAAAGGAATGTGATTGATGTCAAAGTTGTGAGATTCAAAATCATCCCACAATTAAATATAGTAAATATGGAATATATAAATGGTTTTGTGCTTTTATGCATTTTGGGAAAAAAATAGAGTTTGAGGAAAGAGTTATGTACAAGGTATTCATTATATATTGTGAATTTAATTAAGTGATTCTCGGTTGTTTTTATGCTGATGAGGCAGTTTTATGTCTCACAAGTGAATTATCTGATTCTTGCACTTAAATGTTCAAAAGAGAAAATGAAAAGAAGGGAAAAAGGAAAACAAAACAAAGTAATTCTTGTATGGGCTTGTCACATGCCCTATACTTTACCTATATCTATGAAAGGACAAAGGAGATAATTAAGGGGAAAGTGTAAAACATCATGGACTGGTAAAGGGACTAAAAAAATAAAGGTATTTGAAGCAAAGTTGTGCAAAGGGAATAGTTTCAAAAGAGGGTGTTGAGAAAGAATATTAGACATACAAGATTGGTTTATTTATTCTCTTATTAAGGAACTACATTCTTTCTTTAATTTAAACATGACAGGTCAGAATTNAGCGTAAACAAAAATACAAATAGTTGTTTGAGTCGGTCTAATTGTTAAGCGGGTCAATCCGTCATACTATGTGAACAAATATGAGTACTTATACAGTTATATCATATCAAATGTCATACTTTTGTTTGCTACTATTTTTTACAGTACGACATTTTTAAATGAAAATATGAATATTCATAAAAAATGTATGTCAGTCTAATTATTATATAATTATTATGCAGCCTAACAAAAGATCCACTAAAATAAAAATATGGCATTGCAAAGTACAAGTGTTATTTTTGTTAAAAAAAATTATGACGTACGATTCGTTTCGCCCAACTATGAGCCTTTTAGCTCGTACCAAAATTTGTAAAAATAAAAAATAAAAAATTGCATAAGTAATGAGTTAAATAAATGAATGCTTTCACAAATATTCTAGTAATATATATATGAGGTAAAATTATTTCACCCCAAATTCAATGCATGCTGTTTTAAAAACCACTAGAAAAAAAGGAGGAGACAGAGAAGTGCAGGGCAGAGATATGGTCAAAAAATGTCAAATTATTACACCATCATTACACTATCATTCATCCTGAGCACGTGAAACCACGCCACACGTGGCATGATCCTAACGGCTGCACTCGTGGATGGAATGGGAACCGTAGGATCTGAAGTTGGGTCTACTTTTGGGACAATAACTTGTGAGTGTGACTTGGCTTTATGAAAAATTTTCAGGATTATTGAAATAGTCGAGGCACTTTTGCATGAAAAAAGTTGAGCTCGAAAATTGAAATGGCCCTACACAGATATGACTGGAAAAAGGAAAGTGAAATTTTTATTTCAAAATCTTTGCGAATCAGTTCAGCTATGCAGATGGAATTTTGTTCAATTTGGATATTGTATTTTACTTAAATTTTTGTCCCCAAGTGCTTTTCCCCTTTCAGTCACAATTTGAAGAATGTAATTTTAAGCATAAAAAATTCTTATATAATAATTAATTGAGAAATTATTACAGAAATATTAATCATAAAAATTGAATCGCTCCTTAAGGATTTCGAAAAGTCACATATCAATTCAAAACTATAAATCAAATATGACCAATTTACCATTAGTTTCATCATACAATATAATCAAAAGTTGTTGCTGTTAGATTGTTTAACTAATAGAAACCATACTTTCTAACAAGAAATGCACGTTTATATTATAAATATTATACTTTTATTTATGATATATTTGAAAATATCACATTTGATTATTGACTATGAATATATATATATATATGTATATATATATATATGTTAAGAGAGTGTGATTGTCTCAATTAACTATTTTAACATGAGACTTGGCATTTAGTTGTTGTTGGTATATGTGTCATAGAGACAATCTTTTAAGAAAATATATACATGATCACATTAATAATTATATTAGATTATAATTATGGTATTGCAATTAATTAAATAATTGTTTGATTGTTTGTAATTTATTAATTAATTGCTCTCTTGAGTTGATACTGTCATTAACAGAGTGAGATGTTAATTGATAAAGTATAACTCTAAAATTGCCTAAATCGATGATCATTAAGAAAAAGGGATATTTAATGATACGCGATAGATTGACATGTGGTCTGCATCACATTCTTGGAGAATATAATATGTCTCACTGCTATGAATAATTGTTATTCGTGATGGACACATGGATACTTTGGAGAGTATTGGCATATCCTACCGAGAAACCATTTGTTTATGTGTCTATGGAAGTATCGGTGTGTGGAATGGTGTAATAGTCCTTTGGCTTGAGGTCAATACGCAATTCATGTATAGAGTGATTTACTTAGACCTAGTCCAACGCTTACGCCCTTATGGGTAGACACGGACTTGTGTTGGGTAGATCACAATATATATGGAATTGGTAGTTGAGCCAAGATAGGATTCATTCCTCGAATATAGTTTTGAGAGAACACTCGTTTTCTCTATACTGGGTTGATAAAGTCATTGGTCAATGCACATGATTATATTTGAAATGGTGTTCAAATATAATTAATTAAAATCAACCAGTGAGATGAGATAAATGATTAAGCTGTTTAGATAGATACACATTCAAGTCCTAAGCTTAATCGAGTGGTTCGTGAATGAAGGGACCATATTACTATTGAATTATACATCAAAGGTTTGTTTGCTTTGTCTATGTAAAAGTACTTCATATTTTGAGTTCGTCCTTCAACTCAGTCTAGGAGTTTCGTAAGGATCATAAATTAGATTTATGTCAATATATGAAGGTCTATAGGGTCACACAATATACAATCTAGTTTCCGGCTAAGAGTGAATCGAGAGTGTTAAATATTCAATTAGATTGGAATATTTATTTATGAGTAATGAGATTATTTTCTATTTGATAGAAAATATTTAATTAAGTTAAATTAGATTTATACTTAATTAAATTGTTATTGGATTAAAGTCCAATTACCTATTGGGCCATAGGATCTCCTACAACCCATATAATTAGGTTTGACCTAATTATAAATAGGTCATTATCTCATTGTAGTCTTTAACGATCATTAGATGAGAAAAAAGACATATGCCGTAAAACACAAAACATTATCTAGCTTTCTGACTGAGGATTCCTAGCGTCTTCACCGGAAAGGATTCATTGCGTTGGATCGTGCACCGGGATCTAGATTGTGTGGATATCATAGTTAAAGACAAAGCTTAAACTGTAAGTTTTCGTTAATTATTCACGCGATTTAGGATCATATCGAATAGCTATAGCCGGATCTTCACTGTTGGTAAGAAAATTTTAAAATTCCGCTGCGTGTGCGATTGATTCGTACATCGAAAATCCAACAGTTGCATCGAAGGTTTTTTAATATTCCATTCAAATCTTTCTAATAAAATGTTGAGATTTTTTTCAGTCTAACAGATCTTATAGTAGGTGTACTAGATGACTGTGTTAGTGGTAAATCTAAAAACTCATAATTGCATTAGCATGAAGGATGAATTTTTTTTTCCTTCTATTACATAGTATCAAGTTAATGGTATCAATTTCAATTACAAACTTTTTAAACTTCGAATAATCATATTCGGTAAATGATATGCATTAGGATACTAATGAATCAAATGATATACGAAAGCAACAAATTTTCGAGACAAAATTGTGAGTTGGTAGTTGAGGCCATTTTTCTCTACTTTAAGCTTAGAAAGTAACGAGTAACTATACATTATAATGCAATAGCCCAAAGATCTTCGGCTGCCTTGCCTCCAAATACTTGGGCCATAATACTCTGGAATTTACGGGCCCTTGACAGTTGAGTTTGTGCATTTCACTATTCTTGTAGTACATTCATCTATAATAACTAGTACGAATCACGTGCGATGCAGGAGTAAGAAATATTCATTAATATTTATAAATTAAAAATTCTCATTACATAATATTTATAAATTTAAAACATGGAATTAACGACGTACCTATATTAATTTATTGCAACTGTGTCCTAAAATTTAAATTATGCAAAATTATATAAAAATGTCTATTCAAAATTAGTAACCAACCCATGCATTGCACATAACTGATTATAAATCACATTAAATTTGTTTCAAAATATGTGTCAGTTTAAAATTTTTATTCAGAAATTTGATTTGACTATAACGTGATTCCATAAAATAATTATTTTAGTAAAATTTTATCATATATTTAAAAATCTATGTGAATAATAAGTATAAATATAAAACTTATTGTTTTATTAACTAAAATAAATTTATTTTTGTATATTTATTCAAATAAAAAAATTTAAGTAGTTGAGTAAAAGCAGTCAGTCATAAGATTTTTTATGCCAAAAAAATCGATACTCTTTATCATGCTAAAAAAATTAACAATGCAATTCACACAAAAATTATTTGAAATATCGTAACAAAAAATTAATCAAACCGAGGCCCACTAATTAAAAAAAAAAATGGCCATAATTTTTCTGTAAAAATAAAATCGATAAACGCAAATTATATCAAAATATCCGTTCATATAGTTTTGTTGGAGTTAGGATAATTTTATTTTGTTAATTTCATACGAAAAATTGAAATCCACGCCTAAAAACTAATATATTGCCCTGTGCATTACAAAAAAATTAATCTTTTAACAAATTTTCTACTAAAAAACAGTCATCAAATAACCTAAATAAATTTACTCGCTTTATATCATATACTGATTAATTTATTTCCCATAGAAACAACCATCAATACCAAAAATAAATTTGTCCACTTTATAACACATATTTAATTAATTCACACGATTTGAGTAATTAAAGTATCTTAAAATATGGCTTAATTACTTCCTTAAATAATGAGCCACAATTTTCATAAGTGATCATACAATGTATAACATAAATTGTCAAATTAATTTCCAGAAATAGTAAATAAAAATTTTTGGAGGGAAATAGTAACTATTTAAAAAATAATTAAACTTTTATATATATGCAGATAACAATATACTAATTTAAAATTAAACATTTGTATTTTTTTTTTAATTAAATCTCGGCATTACACGCTTCAATTAATGATGATGGTAGTTGGTGTTTTATGGTAGCAAACATTTACATCTTATATCAATTAAGTTTAATTATATTTTTTAACTATTAGATTATTTAATGGTTATACTAAGACTAGTTAATCATAATTTACACTAAATGTCATAGGAAAGTTACACAAGTATCAAAAATTTTAATGCAAATTTTTTTATTCGAGCTCTTTATTCTAAATCAATATTATCCTTTTTTTTTATGTTTGGTAAGAGTTTAGAGATTTTCTTTTAAAAAAAACTAGTTGATTTTAATAGCATAGATAAACCCCTTAAAATATCACACTCGATTGCTATAATAATAATAGTAACAACAATTTTCAACTAATCAATTATCCACAATACCTTAAAAATTACAAAAATTATACTATCTATAAAATCTTTTCAACTAATATAGTGATTCATTTGTAGTTATATAGTCTATGTTTATACTATTCATATTCACTAAGAGCATCTCCAACCATGTTCTCTATGTATACAGTTTCGACAGTAAAATCCTACTAGTTTTACAGTTTCAACAGTGCCAGCAACTCCAATTCATTCCCTCTATAATTCCCTTCTAAAAGAATATTCCAAGCATATTCTTTTTTAATTTTATTAGTTTATTAAATAATCTCTACAAATTACATTTTAATGCATTATGCTTGCTAAAATATACATATCTATGAATATATATTAATTATTGATTAATAAGAATCAAAATCATAAAATTACACACTGCATCATAAAACCAAAATAACATTAATTTTTCCACAAACGTGGATTACATCACAAATATTAATTTAAAAAACAAACATCAACACAAACATGAAGCATTCAATACAATAAAAGCTACGGAAAATAAAATACAACACTAGTTATTGCCATGAGAATATTTTTCCCACAAATGTGCAACCAATGCATTACGAAGTTCATAGTGGGAAGACTTATCCTTGATTCATTTGTGTCGAGCAAGAAATTATTGAAAAGAGACGTGATCTCACGGTGCTGGAGTAACCGTAGGAGCACCAAATTGATCATCACTTCTAATTGGCGCACTAAGATCACGTTGCTCTTTGACATTCATATTGTGCAAAATAATACATGCTTTCATTATATCATTAAGCACCTCTTTTTTCCAAAAACGAACAGGACCCGTGACGATTGCAAACCTTTTTTGTAGAACTCCAAATGCACGCTCAACATCTTTTCTACATGCCTCTTGTCACATTTAAAAGTATTCCTCCATTAGATTT